TTCCCCAAAATCCGCACCACCACTTTTTTTCCCCCTCACATTCTAGATTCACCTCATCTTCAAGACCCAATCCGCTGACACGTCCACTCCCAAATATCTGAATACATTCACCTCCTCCATACTCTCTCCCCCAATTGATATTCAATCTTTCATCACCTAATCTTTTTGTTATCCTCATAACCTTACTCTTTCCTGTATTCACCTTTAATTTTCTTCTTTTGCACACCCTACCAAATTCAGCCACCAATCTCTGCAACTTCTCTTCAGAATCTCCCAAGAGCACAGTGTCATCAGCAAAGAGCAGCTGTGACAACTCCCACTTTGTGTGTGATTCTTTATCTTTTAACTCCACGCCTCTTGCCAAGACCCTCGCATTTACTTCTCTTACAACCCCATCTATAAATATATTAAACAACCACGGTGACATCACACATCCTTGTCTAAGGCCTACTTTTACTGGGAAATAATTTCCCTCTTTCCTACATACTCTAACTTGAGCCTCACTATCCTCGTAAAAACTCTTCACTGCTTTCAGTAGCCTACCTCCTACACCATACACTTGCAACATCTGCCACATTGCCCCCCTATCCACCCTGTCATACGCCTTTTCCAAATCCATAAATGCCACAAAGACCTCTTTAGCCTTATCTAAATACTGTTCACTTATATGTGGACCCTCAACCAACGTCATTAATCCATTCCAGAGGGCTTGCCGTTCGTCGAAATTGCCGTTGTTCGAGTTAATTTTCCCCATAAGAAATAATGGAAATAGAATTAATCTGTTCCTGACACCCCAAAGACTGAAAAAAAAAAATATTTTTTACATGAAAGATACATTTCCTTATATGGAAAGGAATGGGACATGCAAAATAAACAATAATTAAATGCCACTTACCTTTATTGTGGAGTTGTTATGAGTGATGTGCCAGCAGCAGTGGAAATTCAGAATTGTCTATTGCTTGGAAGGAGAATCCCCTTCCAGAAGGACTTCAGGTACCAAGTCCTTTGGTGGGGTTACCTCCCTCCTTGGTTTTTTAATGCCACTAGGACCAGCTCGAGAGTCGCTGGACCCCTGTCGCACAAAATAGCTGTCCAGAGAGCTCTTTCTCACGTGCCCTTAGGATTTCCCTAAAATGGGACACAAGAGTGTCATTGTACTTGTTGCCAATGCGGCTTGCAACTTCAGTGACAGGATAAAATTCTTTGATAAATGCTTGCACCTTTGTAAACATTGAACACATTTCCCTAATCTTTGATGAAGTCATCTTCTCCGTCTCTCTTCATCCTGCTCTGAAGAACATTCCTGAGATGTGATCTGTTGCTGTTGCTCCTGAAGCTCTTGCAGATCTGCAGTAGTTATTCTTCTCTTCATTCTGCACTAACTCTTCCACATCCTAGTCACAAACCTCCAACCCCAAGGACTTCCCCAATGACACAATAGCTTCCACTACTGGCATAGCCTCCTGAGGGTTAGCCCCAAACCCTTCAACATCCCTCTGTTCTACACATTCTGGCCACAGTTTCCTCCAAGCAGAGTTCAAGGTCCTCTTAGTCACTCCCTCCCAAGCCTTACCTATAAGGTTAACACAACTGAGGATATTGAAGTGATCTTTCCAAAACTCTCTTAGGGTCAATTGAGTGTCTGAGGTCACTTCAAAGCACTTTTGAAACACTGTTTTTGTGTAGAGTTTTTTGAAGTTTGAAATGACCTGCTGGTCCATGGGCTGGAGGAGAGGAGTTGTATTAGGAGACAAAGACTTCACCTTAACGAAACCAAACTCCCTTGCAATTTCCTCTTGAAAGTCGTGAGGATGAGCAGGAGCATTGTCCATTACCAGGAGGCACTTGAGTGCCAATTTCTTTTCCTGGAGGTATTTTGTCACAGTGGGGCCAAACACACCATAAAACTAGTCCAAGAAAAATACTTTAGTGACCCATGCCTTACTGTTTGATCTCCACAGCACACACAAATTACCCTTGACGATATTGTTTTTCCTGAACACTCTGGGAGTTTCAGAGTGATACACCAATAAAGGCTTCACTTTGCATTACTAACACAACATTAATGTCAGCCTGTCTTTCACAGGTTTATGTCCTGGGAGTGTCTTTTCCTCCTGAGTAATGTAGGTCCTGTTTGGCATTTTCTTCCAAAGCAGGCCTGTTTCATCACAATTAAACACTTGTTCAGGTTTTAGGTTTTCAGTCTATGTATTCCTTAAAGTCCTTCACATATTTTTCAGCCGCATTTTTGTCTGAACTGGCTGCCTCACCTTGCCTTACCACACTGTGTATGCCACTACAAATCTTAAATCTCTCAAAACCAGCCTTTGCTGGCCTTAAATTGATCAGCAGGCAGCACTGTTTTGAGGCATTTTCTTAATGAGATCATCATGCAACTTCCTTGCCTTTTCACAAATTATAGACTGAGAAACACTATCACCTGATATTTGTTTTTCGTTTATCCATACCAATAACAGTCTCTCTACCTCTTCAACTATTTGTGATCTCTGTTTTGAAAACATACTTGAACCTTTTGCAACAACAGCTTCCTTGATTGCCTGTCTGTTTCCCAAAGATAGTACTGATAGTTGAATGTGATTTGTTGTATTGCCTTTCCAACTCAGCCATACGCACTCAACTCTCGTATTTTTCAATGATCTCCTCCTTCATTTCCATCGTAATTCTCACCCTTTTTAACACAGGCTTGGCACTAGAAGCTTTCTTGGAACCCATTGTGGCTTATTTAGCAGTTACAAGCACTAGAAATAGTGGAATAATCCAAAATATATGGGAGGCACACATGGAAACCGACCACAACAGCTTGTAAACAATGGCACACTGACACTTGGAGTGGCTGGGCCCGCTCAGGCTGCGCTCCGGGCACATCGACATGTTCCGGACAAACGTCGTTGGTTAAGTTTTTTGCCGTTGGTTATGGCATTTTTTCTACAGCAAAAAGCGTCGTTAGACGAAATTGCCGTTACTTAATGTTGCCATTAGTTGAGGGTCGACTGTAAATACGTAATGTGAATGTTAGCCCATTGGAGAAAAGAACTTGTAACATTAACATGGGGGTCAAAGTTGACCATGTGTACTTATTTTTGTAAAAACCCAGCATTACCTTGGCCCCAATGATGATTTTTTTTTTTTTTTTTTGCAAAGTGTACTGTATTTGTGGATGGCTACATTTGGGGAATAAAATAGATCATTATAGCTTTTCGCTTTTTCCTCAGGCTGAGCGTAGTCGTCACACATACGAGGCTGCAACGCGGCAACTGGTGGACTTCTTACATACAGTGAATTCTACCTTGAATATGACTTCTAATCACAGTACAAGGGCAAGTCCTGCAAGCCCCACTACCTCCTTATACTCTGCTGCAAGCCCTGCCATCACTATACCTTCAGCAACAACAGCAGCTGGGTCATCTAAGTTCATACAAGATGATGGGGATCCACCTTATAGGCTGGCAAACAGTAAAACTCCATCTCCAGACTTAATACCAAGTTCATCTTCTCACAGCTTTGGACCAGTGAGAAGAAACTCTGATGCTGTTAGAAAAGCAGGAAGTGTATGGGCACTTCCAACTCAGTCAGGAAATCCTCGAAGGTATAGACATGTGAGCAATATGTATTTAGCCATATATTTTATTTGTTGCCATTGTCTGTATTGACAATAAGATAAATGTGCAAAATCTTTTTAATTTTTTTAACACACCAATCACCTTCCCCTCAAGGAAGGGTGACCAACAAAACAGAAAACATTTACCATCATTAATTCAATAACTTCCTTTCCAGAAGTGCACAGATATCACTATTCTAATGAGCCTTTGAACAATATTTGAATGGGCATAAAGATCATCATTGTATATACTGATTTCATTTAGTTTTTGCATCTTTCTTTCTTTCAACGCACCAGCCACATCCCACCGAGGTGGGGTGGCCCAAAAGGAAAAACAAAAGTTTCTCCTTTTAAATTTAGTAATGTATACTGGAGAAGAGGTTACTAGCCCCTTGCTCCCGGCATTTTAGTCGCCTCTTACGACACGCATAGCTTATGGAGGAAGAATTCTGTTCCACTTCCCCATGGAGATTAGTTTTTGCATATAAGTACTAATTCTTTTTTTAACACTGGTGGTCTCCCACTGAGGCAGGGAGACCTGAAAAAAAAAGAAACAAAAGTTATCTTCGTTTTACATTTAGTAATTTATCCAGGAGAAAGGGTTACTAGCCCCCTGTCGCCCTGCAGTTTAGTCACCTTTTACAACACACTTGGCTTATGGAGGAAGGATTCATCTCCATTTCCCCATAGCTCACTGCAGTAGCAACAAGAGGTTGCTATAAAATTATTACAGTAGTACAGTATGTACTACAGTTAATTTTATGCAGTTATGATTTAATATTGCATCTTTATTTGTTTACATTTTTCAACTGCAAATGGCACCATGTACGATCTGTGTTTGTTTGTGTAAGTTTTGATAAATTTTAACTTTTTACAATAGATTTATTTTTATTTTATGGTAGTAAATGATAAAATAGGCTAGAATCTACAAATGTTTAATGCATTCATGATATAACTTTTTCTTAAATTTTTTGATATTTCTAGGCTATGTGAATCATCTGTGAGTGTTTTCAAATTGTTGCAACTCTCAAAAAAAAATTTCCAGTATATTTATTGAGAAAAATTCCCGTATAAGTTGACCCATGCAGTTCAAACCCATGTTGTTCAAGGGTCAGCTGTATATGGTTGAACCTATGAATATTTAACTTTTCTTTTCCCTCTTGTCAAAGTTTCCTGTTTAGGGTATTTGAGTGGATAGGTTGCTAATGATGTTTATATTAGTTATAATACTGAAATATGCACTGGTTACCTGCTACAAATTTTCATTTAATCCTGCACTGGAATATAATTTCTGTGTAAACTTACAGAGTGAGCCGTGCTCTCAGTACCTACTGTGTAGCATCTACTGCCTCTGGAACCAGCCATAGTAATGCAGTATCTTCAGCAAGCCACGATAGAGGACGGGCACTCACCTCAGAATTTTTGGCAACCCGTGCTAAGGAACTTATTGCCTCCCTCAAGTCGCTTATGAGAAGTGATAGTAAGCTACTTGGGAAATCTCCATCCAACTTTATACATGTGTAGATTTCACCCAGACTGTATCCTTATTAATTAATATCATCTCTCTCTCTCTCTCTCTCTTTGACAAGAACCTGGCAATATACATATATCAAGATTACTTTACCATTTTTTTCATATCCACTATATTTGTTTGATTCTCAGGTGCTCACACATAAACCATCTCTCATAACCCTCACTGTCGCATGTGAGTGTGTGTGTGCACATGTGTGTACTCACCTGTGTGGTTGCAAGTGTGTGTGTGCATTCTTGTATGTGTGCACGTTCATTCATACAAAGTTCACCTGTATGTACTCACCCATATGTGGTTGTAGGTGTCAAGACTTAGTGACCTCGCCTCTCAATGTGTGTGTATATGTGTGTGTGAATTTTTTGTGTGAGTGAAAGTTCTTTTTTTTTTTTTCTCAACTAAGGCAGGGTTACCCAAGCAAGAAAACACATTCACCATCATTGATTCAGTTGCTGTCTTTCCAAAAGTGTGTTGACACCACAATCGGATTACACCCTTACTGCAATATTCCTACCCCACCTTCAGCCTTCAGAAGGGTGGATATCCCACCTCCAGGACTTGAGTCTGGCTAACCAGTTTAGCTGAATCCCTTCATAAAAGTTATTTTGCTCACACACTAACACTATGTCCATTAAAAACTACTTGTCTCCATTTACTCCTGCCTAACATGTTCTCACAGACCTGGAGATAAATGATATAAAATACAGACACGATGGAAAAAGACACAAATGGAGTATAATGCTATCCTTTATTGACTACATTTCACCCACACAGTGGATTTTATAAAGTCATAGCCAGATCTACCTGAGCAGAGAGTACATGAGTATATATATATATATGGAGGTTTTGGGTAGATGGCGAGAATATTTTGAGGAACTTTTAAATGTCGACGAAGAAAGGGAGGCGGTGTGTAAAGGTAGAAAGTTGAAAGTGAACATAGAAAAGAGTAAGGTGATGAGAGTATCAAATGATTTAGATAAAGAAAAATTGGATATCAAATTGGGGAGGAGGAGTATGGAAGAAGTGAATGTTTTCAGATACTTGGGAGTTGACGTGTCGGCGGATGGATTTATGAAGGATGAGGTTAATCATAGAAGTGATGAGGGAAAAAAGGTGAGTGGTGCGTTGAGGTATATGTGGAGTCAAAAAACGTTATCTATGGAGGCAAAGAAGGGAATGTATGAAAGTATAGTAGTACCAACACTCTTATATGGATGTGAAGCTTGGGTGGTAAATGCAGCAGCGAGGAGACGGGTTGGAGGCAGTGGAGATGTCCTGTCTAAGGGCAATGTGTGGTGTAAATATTATGCAGAAAATTCGGAGTGTGGAAATTAGGAGAAGGTGTGGAGTTAATAAAGCATTAGTCAGAGGGCAGAAGAGGGGTTGTTGAGGTGGTTTGGTCATTTAGAGAGAATGGATCAAAGTAGAATGACAATGGAAAACATATAAATCTATAGGGGAAGGAAAGAGGGGTAGGGGTCGTCCTCGAAAGGGTTGGAAAGAGGGGGTAAAGGAGGTTTTGTGGGCAAGGGGCTTGGACTTCCAGCAAGCGTGCATGAGCGTGTTAGATAGGAGTGAATGGAGACGAATGATACTTGGGACCTGACGATCTGATTGGAGTGTGAGCAGGGTAATATTTAGTGAAGGGATTCAGGGAAACCGGTTATTTTCATATAGTCGGACTTGAGTCCTGGAAATGGGAAGTACAATGCCTGCACTTTAAAGGAGGGTTTGGGATATTGGCAGTTTGGAGGGATATGTTGTGTATCTTTATACGTACACTGTATATGCTTCTAAACTGTTGTATTCTGAGCACCTCTGCAAAAGCAGTGATAATGTGTGAGTGTGGTGAAAGTGTTGAATGATGATGAAGTATTTTCTTTTGGGGATTTTCTTTCTTTTTTTGGGTCACCCTGCCTTGGTGGGAGACGACCAACTTGTTGAAAAAAAAAAAATTATATATATATTATATATATATATATATATATATATATATATATATATAATATATATATATATATATATATATATATATATATATATATATATATATATATATATATATATATATATATATATATATAAAGTATATATATATATATAATTATATATATATATATTATATATATATTTATATATATATAAATATATTTATTTTTTTTTTTTTTTTTTTTTTTTTTTTTTTTCAACAAGTCGGCCGTCTCCCACCGAGGCATATTATATTATATTATATATAGGGAGAATAGTGAAGTGAGAAGTCAGGTGGAGAAAGCTGAGAAGAGATTGGATTTGAAAAGGACCTTTGTGGAATGGGCAAGTATGTTTGTTGCTATGCAGGGTAACGATGGAGAAGTTCCGTGGTAAGGGGTTCAGCTATATTGTAAAAGCCGTTGTTCTGGGTGAAACTGTTAGATATACAATGTCTTCTAACATTATATATGACAATTGTTTCAAGGTGTAATACTCCTCCGAAAATAGAAATAAGGTGCATTATTTGACTATTAGATTGGATGCATTGCCATGATGTGCTTACTGATTTTTTGGACACATTTAATAGGTTAAGTCCTTAAGAAAATGAATGTCAATTATTATTATTATTATTACACTCATGCAGAGAGTGCTAAATCCACAGGGGTCATACAGTGCCTGAGGGAATGGGAGGCAGGCACTGTATGAGCCCAAGGGGTTTAGTGTTCCTCCCCATGAACATAATACTCTAACTCTGTATTGTGGTAATTTTAATTTGTTAAGAGTTACTGCTATAAATCTTTCTTTCAACACACCAGCCGTATCCCACCGAGGTGGGGTGGCCCAAAAGGAAAAACAAAAGTTTCTCCTTTCATATTTAGTAATATATACAGGAGAAGGGGTTACTAGCCCCTTGCTCCTGGCATTTTAGTCGCCTCTTACAACACGCATAGCTTACGGAGGAAGAATTCTGTTCCACTTCCCCATGGAGATAAGAGGAAATAAACAAGAACAAGAGCTAGTAAGAAAATAGAAGAAAACCCAGAGGGGTGTGTATACATATGCTTGTACATGTATGTGTAGTGTGACCTAAGTGTAAGCAGCAGTAGCAAGACGTACCTGAAACCTTGCATGTTTATGAGACAGAAAAAACACCAGCAATCCTACCATCGTGTAAAACAATTACAGGCTTACGTTTTACACTCACTTGGCAGGACGGTAGTACCTCCCTGGGCGGTTGCTGTCTACCAACCTACTACCTATACTGCTATAAATATTATAAATATTCATTCAGTTGCTGTCTTGCTAGAAGTTTGCTGACATAGGCTACAGGATGTATTTTTTTTTTTTTAGTGTCCTTAATATGGTGTCCTTAAACTCTCACCAGGTGTCTTGAAGCTCAACCTGGAACCAAAGAAGTCAGACTCATCTGTAAACAGAGATGGTAGCACCAGCAGGAGTATGAAGAGTGAAGGAGGGTGTGTTGCCTCTGTATCAGATACAGATCACAATACTAAGACAGTGTCTTATCATGCTGCTGCTGCTGCTGACCCCAGACCAGTTGCCAGGAAAAAAGCCTACCCAGATGTTGACAGTAGTCCAATTGACAGAGACCAAAATATTTTATCAAGCAAAAGTGATGCTAGTCCAGAAGTAAGCCAAAATTTAATTAGCACAAATGCTACCACAGTGGCTCCAAGAATAACTAACAGCACAGCCAGGGAAGATATATTACAAACACAGTCTTCCATGAGGATGAATGGTAACCCACAGCCACTGAGGTAAGATGAGCCAAATCACATACTTCAAATAGAAAGCTTCTGCTTTTAAGTGTGAAGGATATGTGTGTGTAGTAACACACATTGTAGGTTAAGTCACCTCTTCTGTTTATTTTGCCACCTAATTCATTTAATAGTAGTTTGTATTTTAACATAACCAGTATATATTTTTTGTTACATTTTTGACTAACTCATTCTAACAACTGAAGAATCACACAGAAACACAGTCACTTACTAATTGCTTGATTTAATATGCACACTAAGGCATAGCACATACTGATACAGCAATTACAATTCACCAGCTGATGGGTTATGGTAACTTCTTAAAATTGCAGTTTAACTTTTATTCAGTGTTTTGAAGTAACGTATATATGCATACCACCTACTAATGGGTTCAGGGAACTTTATTCTGCATTTTGGGTGAATGCATATGGCAACACATCTTTCTGTCAAATTAAAGCACATAACTTTTGGAAGTTCTTGGAGTGTGAATGACTTTCATAAAGTAGAGGTGTTTTACTCTGTTACCATTTATGCATGTTCTTCTACAGCTTAATGGTGGTGGGTGAGTCTTCTTCAACTCATGATGATCAACACTTCTCTTCCCTCCCAAACCGGAGCCGTGTATCAGGAACTCTCAACGACTCTGACCACCGTCTCGTCTGGGTTTAAATCTTATTATCTGCAAATGACAGTTTTATTGCTAGCACATATGCTTACAGTATATAAGACTATGCATTGAGCTTTCACCATACTCTAGTAAAGATGCTTTATTTTAAGGATGCAGCTTTTTGCTGAGGTATTCAGTAATTAAAGTGTTTTTAATATTTTATACATGAATAGTTCCCTTCACCATTCATGATCACACATGTTCAGTAGTGAGTGCACATAACTTAAAACACATTCGAACTTATACTGTTGTGTTAGTTGATATAAGACCTTTCAAGTTTTAGTTTAGTTGTTTATTTTTCATATTTCTTGTATAGAAAAGTTAATTAGTTATCATTAGAGGCTGACGCATTTGATAAGAAAATGAAGGATATACAATAGAAAAGTAGTAAGATATCCTTTATAATATAACAGACGCACAACTTCTGCCATTTATGTATGCTGGTCAGGTATGCTGCAGTGTTACATTACATCAGAGATGGTTGTTTCATATATATGTATTAGTCTTTTAGGTAAGACACTTTAAATTATCATTTTAAATTTGAAAGGTGCACATGTGTCTGGTGAATTGCGCAACCCGGACTGTCTACTTGGAATGGTCATGGCTTCAGTTTTACAGTGAACTCAAGTAGGAAAAAGTCTGATGTAACTTTTTGTTGTACACAGTAGTTTTAACTTAAGTGCCAGAACAGCTTATAGGTTTATCCTAGAAGTTGACAGTGTGAATATTATTGCCAGGAAATTTAGTTTTATTTTTTTTGTTAATGGGATTGTAAATTTTAGTTATTTTAAAGAAAACTTATTTTTGTATTGAAATTCTGTATGTATTATTATAATCATGGGAATGCACTAAATTTAAAAGAGTATCTTCAAGACTACAGCCTGTTTTCACCAGAATTTGTACTAAACTGTTATAATGGTTCTCCATGGGGAAGTGGAACAGAATTCTTCCTCCGTAAGCCATGCGTGTTGTAAGAGGCGACTAAAATGCCGGGAGCAAGGGGCTAGTAACCCCTCCTCCCGTATAAATTACTAAATTTAAAAGAGAAACTTTCGTTTTTCTTTTTGGGCCACCCCGCCTTGGTGGGATATGGCCGGTGTGTTGAAAGAAAGAAGAAGTTATAATGGTCATTCTTCTGCCAAAAAGAGGAAATGTGGCCTTGTGGCCACCAATACCCAAGTCTCATATATTAAATATATGTAATTAGAAATATCATAAGTCTGTGTATACTGTAAGTTAATAATGAGCTGGTTAAATAAGCAAATCAATAAAATATATATTTCATTTTAATGTATAAAATTTCTTGAGGAACTGAGCAGATCAGTAACATATATATATTGAAGTTAGTGGTCAGTTCTTTCCTTGTTATACTCATCTGTACCAGTTCCTCTCTACACCAAAGATCTTTCCCTTGTTTGGCATCTGGTGCAGCTTTTACCTCTTCTTATATTGTATTCACACAAATGTGCTAAACCCATGTGGGTCATTCAGTGTTGTTTTCAGCTGTCAAGTCTTACTCGCTTTTATTAAAATTTAGAAATAGCCATATTTTAATGATTACTTCCAAATTGTAAGTAGAGGTGCTATGTATCAGTCAAGCAGTGATTACTGTTACATTATGTACAAATTCATAATGTTTTCGTAACCTGCAGCTAACAAAATCTTTAGGAGTAATAAAGTCTTAGAGATTAAGAATATCCATGTTGCTTTTAGTTTATGAATTCTTGATATTTAAAAAAAAAAATTAACATGCAGTAAAAAACATGATATCTGAACACTTACATAAATCCAAATGCAGAAGTTCCAAGTCTCTTTGTGCCCCCTTAGCAACCTACCCCTCCAACCAACTTTTGTCACTTATTTACATCGGTTTATAGAACGTTTCTATGTTGGGTTGAGTTAGAACTACAGTGGTACCTCGGGATACAAACAGCTCAAAACTCGAAAAATTATGTAAGTGTATTTAGTAAGTGCTTTTGTAAGTGTATTTTTTTGGGTCTGAAATGGATTAATGTAATTTACATTATTCCTTATGGGAACAAATTCGGTTCAGTATCGGCACTGGGAACAGCCTTCGGGAAATGAATTAAGTTCATATCCCAAGGTTACACTGTATAAAATATATGTCAAAACACAATTAAAAGTATTTAACGCAAACAAAAAAACTGGCACCTACTGAGCGCAGCCGCAAAAAAATCATATTTCAGCTATTCAAGGTGTTGCCGACAGTCACCCATTTGACCTTTTTTTATGACAGTGCCATGATGTCTGCTTAAGAAGATGGATTCCCCTCAAGCATGGAAGGCAGGGTCCGCCCCCTGGTCTGAGAATTGCTTTCAAGGTCCAAGAATTTAAAAAAAAAAAAAAAAAAATTCTCATGAAATGATAGAAAAAATTTTTCTAAAGGTAATAAAACCAAAAGAGTATGAAATTTGAGGGGAAAACTTATGGAGTTACGCTCTTGCAAAATTAGCGGTCTCAACAATATTTATGGATTGGTGATTTTGCCCATTCAGAGTCCTATTTTAGGCAAATTTCATTGTTCCAGTCAACCAAACTCATAGCTGCTTTGCTAGTATTCCTTCCATTCTGTTGATTGAGTACAAGTGACCACCCATTTATCTACTTAAAACTACCCAATATAGTTATCAGGAATCAGTAAATTTGACCAGTTTCAAAAAAAAAATTGCCAATTTAAAACTAGGGTCCAGAATAAACAATATTGACATTCCTGGCACTAAAACATTTCTTCTGTTCACTAGTTATGTCCCCAGGCCTATCCTATATTACACTTGCTTTCCATTTTGAATTTTGATTCACAAAAAAAAAATTAGATGATGTACTGAATTATTGTAGTAATTGTATAAATTGTGTGAGCACACTTGTGAATGCATATTACAGTAGTAGTAATCTATCTAAATAATGCAAAACTAAAAAGAGATGCAAACACCTAATTTGAGTTTTGTTTATACTACATCTGTCTTTTTTTCACTGGGGGTTGTGCGACTCAAAAATGCCTTTTCTTTCCCTTTTGATATACCTTTGATGAGTTTCAGCAGTTTTCCTATTTCACAGCCTGGCCATGAGCCAGGCTTGTGTGGTTCTTGCCATGGTCAAACGGGCTGTTGTGATGGTGGCCTGACCTACACCAATCACAGCCTGCTTGATATGGCACTTACCAATTGTCATGTATAGTCATTCATTAGCTTTTTCATTAGCAGTGTATATCATGACAATTTTTAACCCACCAAACCAACATCCCCATCATGTAACTAAAATGTATATTTATGGGAAATATTATTTTTATTATTATTATTTTTATTTTATTATATTTATTACCCAAAAAGAAGATGGGAAATGTTGGTACACCCTGTACAAGAAAATTTTCTGTATCTCTGAAGTCCTTTATTAAAAAAATAAAAGCTTCAGGTCTCAGGGTTTTCAGATACTATGTTGTTTACTGTACTAAGCTTTAAATTGGTTATCTTCAGGGTAATGTAGTGCAGGTACATGATAAAGATTTACTTTAATTTGATGTAAGCATCGAAACCTGTGTGCACTAACATTTTAATTTAGTTAATTTAGATGTATTGGTATGTTTATGAAAATACAAAACCATTAAACAGTGATTGTATGTATACAGTATTCACTTAGCCTAGTACCGAAGATGTTATTGGAAATTTAGGCATATTATCTACCCATTAGTTTTTAACAGATGGTAGATGTATACATGTTGTCCTCCACACTAGAAATTTATATTGTCATACCTAAACCAAAATTGCACATAATTCTTTTTGTATCTTATTCTTTTCAGTCCCAAAGAAAGTTTTTAAGTTTGCAGTGAGTTTGAAATATATTTTGTCACGCAAGTGTACATTTATTAGTAGTACATAGTTGACTGAAGGGTTTGGTATGATATAAATTACTTGTATTTAATCTGCTAGGGTGGTGTGAAATGTTTGTGTAAACATTCTCAAAATTATCATCGGGCCCATTTTGGGTAGCTGGCCATAATTATGTCTCGTGTTAAGATCAACAAGACTGCTTAATACTTTGGCTACATTGGTACTTTGTTTAATTTAGTGCAGTAGTGTAGAGTTGTGTTCAGGGGGTTAGTATATTACAGCAGCTGCTTCAAATTTTTTAGGACTGTGTACATTTTAACAGTTTTAATATTCTTTAGCAAGTATACTCCACAGTGATTGGCTTCAGAGCAATCAGCATTTCTAGTCTGTAAGAATCTTAATATTTAAGACACTGCAACTCCTGAAAAAAAAACAAAAGTTCTTTTCATGTAATAAGTAGCACAAGAGAATCTCATAGTTGACTATTACTTTAGTTTTCAAAGAATTTGTCCCAAATCTACAAAATCTATATTCTTAAAATGTGGTTAAGAATGTAGAGTTGCAAAAAGTGGGTGATAAAAAAGATTGAGTAAATATAGATGAAATATTTAGAAGATGAGCAGTGTGTGCTACACACGCACACCGCACGTGCACACACACATGCGCGCGCGCACACACACATATGTACGTACATATGTATGAACTCACCTAATTGTGGTTGCAAGGGTCAATTCATAGCCCCTGGACCCACCTCTTCACTGATCACTACTAAGTTCACTCTCACCCTGCCCCATGAGCTTTTATCATACTTCTTGAAGCTGTGTATAGATCCTGCCTTCACTACATCACTCTCCAGATTGTTCCACTTCCTGACAACTCTATGACTGCAGAAGTACTTCCTAACATCCCTATGACTCATCTGAGTTTTCAACTTCCAGTTGTGACCCCTTGTTGCTGTGTTACATTTCTGAAACATTCTGTCCCTGTCCCTTATCAGTTTCCTCTCAGTATGTTATATATCATTATCATGTTCCTCTTATTCCTCATGTCCTCCAGTGTTGTCAGGTTGAGTTCCCTTAGCCTCTCCTCATAGGATAAATCCCCTTCAGCTCTGGGACTAGTCTTGTTGCAAACCTTTGCACTTTCTCTAATGTTTTCCTCTGCTTAACCAGGTGTGGGTTCCATCTGATGCCACATGCTTCAGTATGGGCCTTATTCCGACACGTACACCGTGACATAACTCCTTACTTAGATGTCGAAATGTTATTCTCAGGTTTGCAGGCACCTGTATGTGCAGCAGTTATTTAGTTGATGTGCACTCAGTAGATGTGCTCGTATGCTGCTTACCCCCATGATCCTTTTCTTTTTA